TTTTATAGTTTCTGAGATATAGCCAAATAACTTTTGAAGTTGTATGGCAGGTACAAGAAGGAGCCAAGTAATTTCAACGACTTTTATGAGACACATTGGCCCTACTAATATATTCGTTTGTGTGAAATTTCAATACCATAGCTTTAATAGTTTCTGAAATATAGTCAAATAACTTTTGAAGTCGTATGACAGGTACCAGAAGGAGCCAAGTAATTTCAACGACTTTTATGAGACACATCGGCCCTACTAATATATTTACTTGTGTGAAATCTCAATATCACAGCTTTTATAGTTTCTGAGATATAGCCAAATAACTTTTGAAGTTGTATGGCAGGTACCAGAAGGAGCCAAGTAATTTCAACGACTTTTATCTGACACATTGGCCCTACTAATATATTCGTTTGTGTGAAATTTCAATACCATAACTTTTATAGTTTCTGAGATATAGCCAAATAAATTTTGAAGTTGTATGGCAGCTACCCGAACCGGTACCCCGATCATGTCCAATTTAAATAGGGTTCTGGCACTTACTACAATAAATCATTTGTGAAAATTTGGTGAACTTAGCTCAATTAGTTTTTGAGTTATCGTTCGGACGGACGGACGGACGGACGGACGGACAGACAAAGCTAAATCAACTCAGAATTTGACGCTGATCAAAAACATACACTTGAGTCTATATCTAACACCGTTATTTCTTAGCGTTACAAACGGTAAGGCAAATTTAGTATACCCTTCGAACATACGTTCGTACGGGTATAAAAATGGTAAAGTGTCAGTTATATTTATTACAAGTTGTTGAGATTTCATGAATTCCATGCAATTCCAAAAGTTATATGGCATTATCTCAGAAATTATTGGAGTTACGAGTATAATATATAGAAATTTCGTATAAATAAGTATATTATTAAGGCTGTTGTGTGAAAAAAAAACGTTGATAGCTGCCATGAAACTTTAATAGTAGTTCGGCAATATCTTAGAAAATATTGAAAATACAGTACTGAAATTTTTATGGTAATACGGCAACTTAAAGTCATAGTCTGTCACATCGTCAGCTATGGGATATTCATAACTTGCACATAAGATAACAAATTCGTATGGGTATCACAGAGTTGACATGGTGAACTTTATTTTTCTCGTTTAGAACTACAATCGAAATGCTAAATTTGTAATATTCCTTGACTATTCATTCGGACGGGTAAAGAAACTGCAATCTATGATATTATTTTGCAAATTAAAAGATATAATAATACGTTTATCCGTTCTTAATTATACTCGTACATCGAATACGGTATTTTGAATTTTCTTCTAAGGAAAATTTATATACATTTACTTATAGACCACAAAACAACACATGAAAATTCAATAAAAGTTTCTAAATTATCTGAAGAAGAAATCAAGCAAAGATTTAATTAACTTTCAAATTTTAGTAATTATGAAGAAATTTTTCTTATTTCTTTTATTTATAGATGAAGTAGAATAAGAAAACTTTCATCAATTTTATTTCTACTTTAATTCTTTAACATTTAACCTTTGATAATATATAAAATTTGGCATTATACTCGTACTTTGTTATAAAAATATTTAAAGTGAAACGTTTTATACACACAATTATTTTGTATTTGATATCTTGGCTTTTTTTTTTTTCTTTTTTTTTTGACATTATGACGTATTCTTAACGTAGTTCGTTAGCTCCTAAGAAAAAATTTAAATAGAGTGAAATAAAAAATAAAAGCAGAAATAAATAAAATTAGAATAATTTTGTCAATTCAAGATCATTTTATATGCGAGTATGTACATCATTCTAATGAATCTATTTATATATTTTATACGGCCATATTATAATATGTGAATATTTTATATTTATATATAAATCAAGCACATTTACAGTTGTATGTTTCTTGTCCGCTACTATAACATTTTACTATGAGAAATCGGATATTAGTATTAGAATTTTCCCACGGTTTTCGTTTTGTATTCGTGATTCTCAACCCAGGTGTCTCGAAAAAATGTCACCATGTGAAGTATGTGGGTTATCAAATGTGGAATAAATTATATAATACTTTTTAATGTTCATTTGAAAATAAACAACTATGTATAGGTGACAAAATACTTTTAAATTACGATATTGGGCTTTTTCTAATACAGTACTCTGGAACTATGTTACGTTTAAATTAAAAAATTTAATTGTTTTTGATTTTGTAGATAAAATGCTATATAGGTACCACCATGTTCTAAAGCAAAACTACTAGGTACCATCACCTCAACACGGTTTAGAACTAATGGTCGGTCTATATTATCGACAGAAATTTGCAAATGTTTGTAATAAAACATTTCTTTTCTGTGTTCCTTTAATAAAAGTAAATTAAAATTAAAAATATTTTTTGCTGTTAAATAATTAAATAACATAAAGATTTTTAATCAATTTTAATTTTTGGAATCACACAAGTAAAAATATAGTTGTTATGCATAAGTCCTAAATGCCAATGCTGAAGTCAAAATACTTCAAAAAAATTTTTTTTAAAAATAATAAAAAATTTGTACAAAATAAGAATTTAAAAGAAAATGTCATTTTCAAATCGATAAATGGTCTCTTTTGGAGACTATTTAGGAAACGCTATTTGTAGGGGTGCGAGATATGTTCCTACACATTATATATTGCATATGTTGGTATAGTACGTTAATTTAGAATTTTCGATGTGAGTTTAATATTGTCGTAATTAATCATGTGCATATGTATACATACATAATTTGTATATAACTTATGTAGGTATATGAATAATATAGAAAAAATATTAGGAAAAATTTTTAATGCCAACTGATATAATTTTGGCAAACATTTTATTATAAATACAAAACTTACAAGAAAAATATCAAATATTAAAGCATTGCATACATTGTATAAAATATATCTAAGTGCGTATGCACCTGTATAAATAAAATATATAAGATTTGATGTACATTAATGCATATATTCCTATTGTATAATTTTAACAATTCTCACTAGCTTTATTAGCTATACCGAATATTAAACAAATTTTACGTAATATGTTTTGTAGTACAGCCGAAGGACTTTAATAATTAAAATAATAGGAGGAAATAATTTTATTTTTGTTTCTATAATGAAAAATCATGATAAATTTTATATAAAAACAAATTACATTAAAAAAAAATTATACAATTAGTCTAGGGCGGAAGACATAATGTACATTTAGAGGTTTAATGAGTAACTGTTTCGAGGTTGTACGAACATTTCATAAACCTCAAAACATTTAAATCGATGACAAAAAAACATAAAATATTAAAATTTAAATAAAAATTTGAAAATTTTATTGAAAATTACATTCTTTAATATTAAATGCGATATAATTAATAAAATTTATGATATAGATATAGTTTGTGAAATTTAAAATATAGAATATAGAAATCAGTAATATATGATATACAGAAATATATAAAAGTTGAATATATGATATACAATATATAACAAAGAATATAGAATACAGAATATAGAATATAGAATATAGAATATAGAATATAGAATATAGAATATAGAATATAGAATATAGAATATAGAATATAGAATATAGAATATAGAATATAGAATATAGAATATAGAATATAGAATATAGAATATAGAATATAGAATATAGAATATAGAATATAGAATATAGAATATAGAATATAGAATATAGAATATAGAATATAGAATATAGAATATAGAATATAGAATATAGAATATAGAATATAGAATATAGAATGCAGAATGTAGAATGTAGAATATAGAATATAGAGTATAGAAAATGAAATTTAGAAAATAGGATATAGACTAAGTTTTTCAGAAATTTTTAGGTTTTTAAGAGAGTTTTCGGTTTTTAAAAGAGACGTTTATGCTAAATATATCAGATGAAATTTACAAGAAGACATGTTAGATTCTTCGACATTGAACAAATAATATCTTATGGTTCTAAATTTCAAATTTTGTATTGTTAAACGAAACAAATTTTTGGTTCAAGGAAAAAGCAGAAAGTCCGATAGAGGTTTTGCAGGAAAAAATGTTAGCAAATAATTTAAATTCTACCGTTTAACAATTTAATTTCTAGTGATAATCATTGGTTACTCTTATAAATTCTTCAAAAATACTTAAATTTTTGTAACGCCTTATTTTATGCACAATTTTCCTCTCATTATACTCAATCGATTCATTAATATTTATATAGAATTTAAAAAAATAAAAAAAATAAAAAATCGTCTCTCAATAATTTCCAGTTTTATTAAAAATAAATTTTTCAAAGGACCAATTTTGCTTTAAAAATTGAGTAACTCTTTAAATTAACTAATAATTTGTGAGAAATTTTTGTGAACAAAATGTTGGTCATCAAATATGTAGATATGTACGTTACGAATTCGAAAGATTATAATTATTACGTTTCGTTTTTTTTACACACAATTTGACATCAAACTTTTTTCTCTTTATTGCAACTAATTTTCGAACAATTATTGCTTTTTTTTATAATATCTTATCAATTTGATTATGATTGAAAGCCATATTAACCCATGTAATTATATAAATCATATAAATTTCAATTCTTTAATAATTCAATTATTTATGTTCATAATAATTAAAACACTATATAATATTTTTGATCTAATTAAATTTTCTATACTTGTGTAATAATAACATAATTGCCTTTATGTATTTTAGATTATCAAAATCATAAATTTTCAATAATAATAATTAAAGTATATACATTAAATTATTTTTTATAACTAAATTAAAATATTATAGAAACCGTTCTAAGGAAAAAAGAAAAACTAAAATTTCATTTACACCATTATGCACACAAACATTTTATTTAAAAATTATATAGAATTTTTTTATTATTAAAATTATTTATTGAATTTTCTATAATATAATTATAATTACAATTTAATATTTACAATAATTATAATAATAATAATAATAATAATAATAATAATAAGAATAACTAAATATTTACCTTTAATATAGTGCAGGTATTGAAATAATTTTATTTCCTTATATATAATAATTTTTAATAATTTTAATTTTTTATATACAAACTACATGTATATAAGAATTTTTTTTTATTTATTTTATATTTTTAAAAACACAAAATTCTATTGCAATTTCACATCAATTTTAAGTAATAAACATTAATTATTAAAAATTATTTTCATTTATGTATATGTATGTATAGGTATTTATGTGCTTTCTATATAATAAGTACGTTAAGTTATTACAATATTAATGATTTTTACATTAAACATTAATTATTAATTATACAAAATAAATTTTTATTTATGTTATTTCTATAGACACAAAATTTTAATATTCTATATATGTATATATGTGTATATATATAGACATGAATTTTATACTCTCAAGAAATTTATTATAATCCTATTCTTTCACATTAATTTTAATAATTATTTATTACAAACATATAATTTTCAATTTATATTTTATAATTAAATTTAATTTTTCTAATATCTAAGAAACCGATTTCAAATACTTGATACTCTATATCTACATTATATAAAATGATGGGTATATGCGATTGATTTTGTTTTGGAGGCAAAAGCTAGGATTTCAATTGTTTATTTTTTTTTAAAATTAATTTCTATTATTTTTTTTTACAATATTACAATTATATTAAAATATTTAGTTTTTAAAATAAAAGGAATTTTTTCTTCTTTTATTTTTTTTTGTTTTTATAAAAAATATAGTGTAAATATTTGTTTCTATGTTTGTATGTATATATTGTTGTATAAGTAGGATAGAAAATTGTTTTTTTTTTAGAAAAAATTTGTGAAAAATATTTTTTTTTATTTATAGGATTTATTTTGCTTTGCAATTAATTTTAAATTTGAAAATTAATAAGAGAACGAAAACGGTAAAATTAAAATTTTTTATAGTTTTTTTAGTTTAGGTACGGCAAATTTTTAATATTTTTTTATTAATTTTAGTAAGGTATAAAAATTGGGAAAAGCTTTGTGATTTTTTTTTAAAATTTCTTAAATTTTTTTTTCTTGCAAAGTTTTATTAAAAATTTTTAATATTGTTTTAACATTTTCTCTAATTAATAATTTTTTTCGGGTTTGTTCTTCTAATTTTCATTTTTTTTTTCAAAATTTTCACATTTAATTTTTCATTTAAAATTTTAAATCTAATGACCCGTTATTTTATACAGTTTATAACACAATATAATAGTTTTTCATTATCAATAAGGCAAAACAAAAAAAAAATCCAAAATTAAAAAATAAACGAAAATAAAAAAAAATAAAAATAAAAAAAAAGCTTTCTGTTTTCAAATTTTTTTTTATTCTTTTCTGGTTTTCGGTTTTTTTTGTATTTAAATCGGATTTTCTCAAATTTGTTTTTTTTTTTAATTATTTATTTATTTATTGTTTTTTTTTTAGTTTATTTTTTTTCCTTTTATTCCACTTTAGACGATTACGCGACGTCTAACTGTTAGGACAGTCTCTTATTAACTGAGTGAAAAAGTTTTTCACAATATTCGGAAAATTCCAATATGAAAAATATTTTAATAGGTAAAGGAAAAACTTTTTATATTTTTTTTTTTTAATTTTTTATGAGTCTTTTATTTTTTTTTTATATATTGCACATTGTACATACAATATTGTGGCCATATATTAGCTATATATGCTGTGGATATGTTTATATACATTTACATGGGTATATTGTTAGTATGTGTGTTATAAGTTAAAATACATACATATAAGAAATTATATTATGTATTCGCAGTGTGAATAAGAAATGTAGAGAGAATGAAAAATATAGAAATTATATATAATATAAAACATAAAGAATTTTTCCAATAAATAAAGAAAAATTTAAAAAGTTAAAGAAGAAGAGCACAAATAATATTGTATTGTGTACCATATTCTACTCCAGTAAGAATATTATTACTATATAAAAAAGCAACAAATATACTTTTGTATATTCTGTATATTTATATATAGGTATTAGGTATATATTGTATATCGAATTGCATGTAGTTAGTTAGGTAGAACGAGAATTTACTATATAAGATACGAGACCAGACGTTTTTACTTTTAAAAATTTCTTTTAAATTTTCTTTGTTTTCTTTTTATAGCTATATAAAGTGGCTCAAACTTTAGGTCATATATATTATAATTTGCTTGTATATAACTGTCATAATTATAAAATATACATATACATAACAATTACATTAGAATAAAAACACAAAAATATCCTTATAACATTTTTAATAAAGAAATAAATTTGGAAAAAAAAATCTCATTGAGAATGGTATATATACGCTGGCGCGAATATTTGTTTTGTATACAAAAAAAAGGAGATTATGAGATATAACAAGCATTATGTGCCACATATATCTACTCGCATATACATATAATATTGCAATAATATAATATGTATGTATATTATATGCTTATAAATTCATAATATTAATGCATACATAAATAAAGGTAAACAAAATAAATAAATAAATAAAATATAAAAAGTAAGAAACTGAATATTAAGAGAAAGACTAAAAATATAATATACTGTAGTTAAAAATTTATAACGAATAAAGGAATAAAATAATGTTAAAAAAATGAGTAAATTTATAAAATAAATAAACCTAAGAACACGCGATTTTATTTTACATATTCTTTATATACACACATACAATCTTGTATGTAAAAATGAATGCACATAATGTCACATATGCCAGGTAAGTAAAATAATAATAATATGTGCATGCTTATTTTACACATACAATAATAATTTAAGCTCTATATGTATATACAAAAAAAAGGACCTGTGGATTTCATATGACCATGGGTTTTTGTACCTTTTTAAATAGAAAAGTCAGCAAAAAATAAAAATAATAAATATAAAAAATTATATTGTTAATTTTTTAATGACATTTTCATGTTAAAAAAAATTAAAAAAAAAAAACAACATTAATTTCTATTTTATACACAAGAGGTTTCATTTTACTACGAATTTTTATTTCTCTACATATATGAAGCATTAATTAATACTATAAATGCAAAAAGAGCAAAGAAAAAAAATAAGAGAAATAAGTAGATCAAATTAAATGCTCTTTTATATACATACTTACATGTATGAATTCGTTACACCTACATATATACATTTGCTAACCGCAAACAATAATAATGAAGTTTGTTTTGTTCTACACGCTTAAGGTTCTATAATATCTAAATAATTGTTTTTATTCCAACGTAATTTATAACATGCAGAGTTAGTATTTACAAAATAGAATTATTGTATTTTTTTTTTTTAAAGATTTTCTTTTGAAGACATTTTAAATTACGTGTAATTTTATTATAATAGATGCAAATTGAAATGAATGTAATAATAAATACAGGGTGATTCCTTTCAGGCAACAAACTATAGAGCTCAGATATTTAGGACTCGGAGCCAAATGTAGCATAATTCTACTTGTTCTCATTTTTTTAATTCCAAGAAACATAGGATTTTCAAATAAAAAGTTTTTTCAATTTTCAAGTTTGACTTAAAACTGAATCCTTAAATTACATAAACTAATTAAAGATTTTTTATTGAATTTTAAAAATAAATTTAAGGTAAAGTTTTTAATGCTTATCTAAAAGTAAAGAACTCAAGCTTAAGAAAATTCAAAATTTTTTTTGCTATTTTCTATAAAATTATTTTTATACAGTCCATCAGAAACTATTGGTCAAAATTTTTATGAATACATCGCCATATTAAAGAGAAAAAAATGTTAAGGGTCCTACTGGTACTACACCAAAGTATTGCTATTATATCGAAATATTTCATATAAACTAATAACCTTTCTCACTGATTACAATTTTTTTAGTAATTATCAAGATTTTAATGTTTTATTTAAGTACCACCTGTAATAGTACGCTCAATGACGCCTGATGATCACGGGGTAGTGGTAGCAAAACGGTATATTTGTGCTTATTAAAGTACCGTGGACTTGCTACACCTCTCACATCAACCAACAATTCAACCAGCGAATTTTAATTGAATATTATTTACAAATTCATAAACTACATTATAGTCAAAAAATAATTGATAAAAAACTAAACATTTGATCTGCAAATTCTTCCTTAGATGTAGAACTTATAGATAAAATTCATAATTAATTTGAAAACTGCAAATTAATTTGAATTCATCATTTTTATTACTTAATCAAAAATTACCAAATATTTTTATTGAAAACTCAATTTTTCTTTTGAATATAAATGAAGTAATTTAAATGCAATTTACAATGTACAATTATTCAATCATCAGTCAAAGTTAGAATAAACATTGAAAAAAAAAATATAAGTAGAGAAAATCCTTCAGAATATTTTTACTTTAGAAATTTTAAAACTTTTTTAAAAGTTCAAAGTTCAAGACTTATGGAGAATATAAGTAGGTACACAATATAATTGCATACATATAGGATTGCAAATTTAATATGCAACACCCCAACATTATTTTTTAGATGTTTCCGCATTTTGTGTACATAACTATAGTCCGAAAGAGTGTACATTATATACATCTACATATGCAAATTAAAATTATATAATAATATGAGTATCTACTGTACGATGTATGTTAATATTTTGTAATAGTTACAGAATAGTAAAATTTTTACCTTTAAAACAAACATTACCCTTTCTTTTTCCAGACTTTTTTTGACTTATTTTTATTCTGTTTTTTCTTATCTTATTTTTTTTATCATTCTTTTTTATATAGACATTAAATAATCCGAATCAGCTGTTACTTTTCTCTTGAAATACATACTTACATCTATATAAAAAAAACTATTTATATAATATCTATGTATTTAAATGCTATACTTTGCGCTAACCATATATATATATATGTATATATATATATACATAAATTTATTTGTATGTATTAAATTTACATAAAAGCTTTAATATAATAGAAGTACATAATGTAAAATATTAATTGATTGGGGCACAGAGCTTTTTATCACATGAAAACAGTTATTTTGAATTGAATACAATTTATGAGGCCGCTAAATATATGCAATATTATATTTAACACAATTATTCATTTCTTGTAAAATGATAAGAAATGTTTTGTCTTAAGTTTTTGAGAATTAAGAAATTTAAATAATTATGTATTTCAATTATGGGAGCAACACAATATTGACTTTTATTTTTATTATTGTCATTGTGTAACGTATAATATATACATATCAGTGAAATTATGTATATACATAATATATACATATCAGTGACATTATGTATTATTATGTACATTTGTATATTTTGTATGTTGTAAATGTATTGTAAATTTCGTTGTCTCGATTTAAATTTAAATAAAAATGTTAACGTTAATTTGAGTTTCTGCTTTAAAACATTGCTGAAATTTTTTTTTTTCTAATTCCAATTTCAGAAACAAGATTCCATTCAAAAATATTCCGTTTGTTAGTTACTTAATATTTTTGGTGAAAATACTTAATTTAATTAAAAAAAAATCATTTAAGTTTTCATTTATGTGTACAGAGTTGTGGTTACACTATTTCTTAACGTCTAAATCAAAATTATGTAGAGTTATTAATTCTTATATAACTTCAATTTAGTTTAAAAAAGCTAAAAAACTTTGCAAAAACTTAAGATGAAACATGAATTTTTATTTTGTATCTGCTAAGTTTAGCTTACTTTCAAACCTTTGGATTATTTATAGCCTAAACACAAACCTAAAATGTTTATTTAATTATTAGAAAATGACGATCCACAATAAACATTATAGGAGAGAAGGCATAAAAATATACCAAAACATACTGTGATATGAAAATTAAAATTACAATGTAGGTAAGAAAGAAAACAAAAAAATGAGTTTAAATTATTAATTTTGTAATTTGTATAAAAATATGTAAAAATAACCAAATAGGTAAGGTTTTGTAAGGGAAATGGAAGCGAGTTTAGAATTAAGAAGCTGAACATTTTCTTAATGATGGTAAAAGATTATGTTGTGATTTTAGAATTAATATGTTACTTTTCATTATTATCATTATTACTTAATTATGTTTCATTATTATCTATACACGAAATGTGAAAATTATTCTACATCAATACCTGTGAATTGGCGAATTGCATTCAAATTATTGTAAATTTTTCATTACGTCTATCTAATAGACAAATATAAATATTCAGATAATGGCCTTTACAATAACAAACAGTAGATATTATTCTTATCAGCCCTAGGAATTCAAAAAGTAGGCAAAGCTAATAAATTTAATTATGAAGTTTCTATTTTCGGCATTACATTTCTAAATTTCAAACAAGTCTATTATTATATGTTTTCCTTCAAAAAAAATTTAACCAAGGCAGTAAACTTTTCAAAATAGCATTTCTCAAGCAATTTACATTTATTTCTTAGTTGAGTTTTAGTATAAAAAGCAATATCAATATTTCCAATATAAGAAAGTTTAGTTCCTTTCAACAGTAAAACTCAAATA